TGGCGCGTCGGCACCTCAAGTAACATATTGTATGTACATGTACGGATTAGACATTTGAAAGATAAATAAAAGAGAAACAAGTTGTTTATAACTAAAAGCTTCTGCGCACATGGTCAAAACCATTCCTCATCCGCATCACTAACCTCGACAACACGCAGAGCAGGATCCATCTGTCTGAGGCGCGCTCTAAGATCTTCCTTCAACATGGGAGCCTCGACCTTGTCCTTTCTTTTGTAGCTCTTTCCGGTGTCAAGCTCTATACATCGCAGGGGAGTCACGTCCTGGGCACCCATCCGCGAAGAGACCAACTCGCAAAGCGCATCTATACAAGGCTCCGGCGCGTAGAGGGCGGATGTCGCAAATCGTAGGCGTGTAAGCTTTGAGGCTATTTTGGATGCATCGTCGGCCAATGCTACCAAAATTGGAGCGATGTCGTGCGCATCGTCCATCACCTCAACGTGAAGGAACAGCAGCTTGGGCATGCCCCGAAGAATGGTGAGAACACGATGAACTGAGTCCTGGTCATCATGCGCCTGGTACACAAACGAGAATGAAGTGATGCGGCATACGGCAGCGAAGAACGCGTCCATCGGTTCGTTCGGCCCCAATGTTTGGATGCTGGTAATCTTGAGCTCGTCCAGTGCAGGAATATCAAAGCATTCAAACACTGTAGTGGGGATGCGTCCAGGAAGCGCTGGTGAGTGTCTTGAGACTATCTCCAGGCATCGAAGGCGTGGTAAAACGACGCGATGATCTTGTAGCTCAGCGAACTGACCATCTTGACCATTCAAGATCAAGACCTCTACGTCCCTCAGCTTTGGGACATGCACGAAGCTTTGGTGATATAAGCAACTGTGCGTTAGTTGCGCCCAAGGCATGTTGATTTCTGCTTGATGAGAATGCCCTTCTTTATATCGTCGCAGCTTGGGGGCGTTCTCGAAGTTGAACGAGATTGGTCTTGAAAAGTCCTCTTCCGGGTTGGGGCCCATCCGCGGCAAGAGGAGCTTGATCTCTAAATTTTCTAGAGAAGGCAGGAGCATACCAGATACGGCTCTGATGACGCTGAACTTTGAGATGACTCTGAGTGAACGAATACGCGATGCTGTAGCTGTCTCCGACAGTGACGCGATTATATTCATTCCGAACGAGTGGTAGTCCGGGGACATGGAGTCTATGTCAAGTAGTTGAATACGCAAGGGCCGTTGCTGCGAAAGCTGTGAGGTGCGCTTTACAGCAGAGACATAGCTGTCCAAGGAGGAATAGCGGGAACCCAACATGACATAGCGAGTATCCGATATGCTGAACGATGACCACAAACCTGAGCTGGCAGTCGAGACCGCACGCCAGGTTTGGCAAACGCCCGTGAGAGACCAGGGTGGCGAGGCAGGATCCATGTGAGGATTGTCATGGCCATCGCTAACGCAAAAATCAAATATGTATCCCAGAAGGTCGTCTGGAATCCGGCGAATGGGACTTAGGGCGAAGTTTAGTGCCCTCGCGCGCGCGGCGAGGCGCCGTTTCAGCTTGTTTACATCGTCGATGGCCTTCGTCAGCGCGGCACGCTGCCTCGCAAAAGAGGAGATTTCGTCGCAAGTGGGGCGCTTGTTGCTGTGCGAGTAAGACTGAATGTAATCCATCACATCGATGTTTGCCTCGATAGCGTCGGTCTTGGCCTTTAAAGAGCAGAGGCTGCAGCCTGTGCCCATTAACATTGGTCTGCTTTGTCAGAATTTTCAAACGATATCCTGGGAGTGAGACTTACAGGTTGTTCATAGTACGTAAGTTATGGAGATGGTAGTCTTGGTCGAAGGTTCAAACCGGCCCGATCTCGTGCTTCGCATGTGGATGTGATCAGCCCCCGCTCAATGCTGAGGCCAACACGATATGTACCTATCATAAGGCAATTATTATCAGTTTCGACGAGGAGGAAACTTCAAGTTCTAACCCAGCCACTACTTCTACTGGGCTTCAACCCACCGGCAGTCTATCCACGCTAACGGCTTTGGCTTCAACATCTTTCACTGGCCTGACGCAGAACGGAAAAATGCAACTCGAGAATACACGACTAAATGACTGCCATTCTGGTAATTACGCCTCGTCAGCCGTAAGTTCCTCCCCATCTCTTAAATTCCGCCCCATACTCCATCGCCCGGGATATACTACTACTTCTTGGATAGACCAACTGAACTGAGCTTCGTCCGTAGACAGTTTGTCCGTGGTATTTTGGGAATATCACGATCTGAACCAATCATAAGAATATTGCGCAGATATATCACGCGCAAAAACAAACTCATGCGAGAATGCAGTTCGCAAAATGCAGCCAATTGACTGAATGCCTGGTAAAACGCTCGAGTCTTTCATCTGACTATGGCGCTCTCAAACATCCCGACGATGACCATCTCGGGTGGCACCACTTTCACTATGCCTCCCAACGAAGACGAGGCCTTGCCCGCTCAAGACTGTTTGGATCACCGCCACATGAGGTAATCACAATGGAAAGAGAGGGATAGTAGATTCATTGTAACATTGAGCGATTTCTCGGGGCTGCGATGACGGTAAGCAACTCGAAGGTCATGAGTAGAGCCCCCTGCGCGCGCGTCGGGCACCAAAAGAAGGTCAAGACAAAAGCCCAACAGATGCAGCTTCATGTTGAATATAACTGGTACTTCCAGGGTACTTCGCTGAGCAATCGAGCATGTCAGATATCCAGTAGACGCCCCAGACTCTGCTCTCAGAAAACTGGATGTGAATTGTCAAAATCATGGTCCTTAAGCCTGAGAATCATACGAGATAACATCTGGAGTTCTGACTCTGCCGACCGCCTCGCTCAGGCATCGCTATGATTCTCGACTCGCCCTTTTGAAAGATACTAACCGAGAAGAGAAGTACTCGTCGCGCTTCGAGTCATTGATACTTAGAGGCTTGACTATTGCAAACTCAGAGCAGCGACGTGGCGCCACGTCCCATAGACGTGGGGGAAAGTTGCGCTTTCGCGCAGAACGACGAGGTCAACGCCGCCTCACAAATTACAATCTGCCATGGAATCAAACGTGCTGCATGTGGGTTGTCACGAGGAAACTTGATGGCAGCTTGATGGTGCGAGCGGGCCATCGTCGCAGAAAAAGATAGGGGCTGTTTTGCCGTGTTTGTTGCGGGTATGAAAGCGATGCCACGTCAGTCTGGGGTTTCTTCACGACTTCCACGTACACTCGTCCTGCGACTGCAGTAAATTTCGCTCAAATACCTTCTCTCATCGACGTCCTTCCTTTCTCTCCACGTATACATCCACGTTTAACAATGTCTTCGCCATTCGTCAACCCCTCGACCATTTCTGAAGCAGGGCCCTCCAGGAAACGCGCTCGCGGCGACTTGTCGTCCGAGGAGCGCAAAGAGGCTCGCGCCCACCGCAACCGTATCGCCGCACAGAACTCTCGCGACCGTCGCAAGGCGCAGTTTGGCGCATTGGAGCGTCGCTGCGCTGAGCTAGAGGACGAGAACCGCCGCCTTCGCGCTGGCTATGGCGTTGTCGCGCCTGCGCCCGCCCCCGCCAAATCACCCGAACAAGAGGCGCGCGACCGCGAGAACGAGGAACTACGCGAACGTATCAAGACGCTAGAGAAAGGCTGGGACGCCGTTGTGAAGGCTCTTGCCGCCCAGGGCTTGCCAGGTACGTGTTTTGATTGCATCAACCGCACGCGCGTGGCTGACATGGCATCGCAGGACTCGGCCTCGCGGCACCCGATAACGCCGCCGTGCCCTCCGTACCTGCGCCCACTATGACCCAAACCCCCGCTCCCGAACCACGGGCTGCCCACGAATTTCCCTCCATCGCGGCGCTCCCGATCTCCCCCGCACCTTCTCCACAAGCCGACGAGGACTCACCAATGTTTTCTGCCGACTCAACGACCACGACCGACTATTCCGGATCACCGTCACCGAAGTCTGAGCCCACTCGCCACCTAGCACGGGTGGCGACCACCATTGCGCCAGCAGTTCAGGCTGCGCCATTGGTGTCCCTGCAGCGGGTGGGCCCGACTCGTTTGACATATTCGCCCCAGTCTCTTTCCCGCAAGCTTCAACTTCTCAGGCCGCCGTCGCTCCAGTCGACGACGCCACAATGGAGAACCTCTTCCGCGAGATCCTTGCCACTTCGCCTGCCCCAGCGCCGGAAGCAACACTATTTGTTTCTGATGCGGCGGCGCCAGTGTCAAGACCGGAAGTGACATTTGATGAGATTGCGGGCAGGGAGGCGAACGGATCAGTGTTGTTGAGCGGCGCATCAGAGGAACTCGTTTGGCCGCAGGAGGAGCTGGATGTGCAGAGGTTGATCGATTTGCTGCCGATGGAGTCCCAATCCCTCGACACCTGGGATTTCTCGTTGGACTCTTCCAACTCCATCGGTGTATACTAAAACATTTCACTCTCCTCTCTCATCTTCCTCTTGGATATTTTAAGGTCGACTATTCGTCTCTTCTCTGACGCACCACTTATTTAACAGTTTCGTCTCTTTTCCTCATCTCATCTCGGAACCATGTATTTACTTCGCCTTACCTTGTTGTTTCTCTTTCGCATGTTTACTTGCACCTTTCGCCTATGACTTTTAGCTATCTCTTCGTCTTACTTGATGCAGTCTCCCGTTCTCGGCATCTTCTCCCTTCGGGTCGAGATGTTTGCTGGGGGCGGTGAGCGCGTTGGGTGGCCTGGGCTATATCTTCTTCGAGTAGGGACATGGTATTCGTTACATTCGGAATAGTGACTTCTGGGTTTGCTGTGTTCTCCAGTGTGATACAGGATTGTCTGCAGCTCTCCTTTGGATGAACTGAAGGACTTTGTGAGGGGTTCTCAGAGCATCGTTGGCAACGCGAGAAAGTAGCGAGCTAGGCCTCATGAGAGAGATGTCTCATAGAAGTCACTGTCATTACAAGCTAACGAGCCTCCGGCCCTCCGCGCCAGGTACTTTAGTCCAGTTCGACCAAAAATATTGTTGCGACAACCAGTGATGCCCCCTGCAAGGCTCGAACTTGCGACCTCAGGATCACTCAAGCCAAGCTTGAACATACAATTGTATGAGACCTGCGCTCTAGCCAACTGAGCCAAGGAGGCGTATTTGCGCCACATTATAGTGATTACCCACCCCCCCCAACGTACTCGACGCTCGTAGTCTGGACTCTGCACTCTGGAAAACAAGCGTGACCTTCTCCTTCACTTCCTATGATCACGGTGGCGCCAACACGGAGAGATTAGAGTTCTGAATTGCTATTAGATACTGCCTGGAACCGGTGCTCCGCTTTTGCCTCTATCCCTCATCCGGAGCGATGTTGACGAGGCAGATACCGCTATCCTGGTCTGCGGTACTTCGTACGCATACTACGCTCTGAATGGTTGCGCCGCAGCTGCGAGCCACCGACTGCACAGTTCCTATTTTGATCCCGCCTCCGGATGTTGGGCCGCCAGGTACACTTTGAACCGCCTCGAGAACGCCGTACCTGCAGTGCCCGCCCTATCTTCTTCGATTTGTGTACCAAGTCCGCGTCTGCTTCGCTGAGTGTACAATTCACGTGTCTTGACTACCCTGTGTGCTGCATCTCCTGGCAGGCGCAGAATAAATCGTGATGTCCGGTCTGTCGGTGTAATTGAGGCGCGCGTTTGACTGGACTGCTGCGCACCCAAAATGCATCCTTCTTATATGCGGGCTGTCTAGCCTTTTTTTGCAACGTCTGTTTTTCTCCTCCCTCTCCTCTCAACATGAAAGGCGAAATTTTTCTGCCCTTTGCTGACGGCGATGCGCCCGTCGAGCGCCGCCGCCTCTCACGCCCAATCACGGTCTCGTTGATTGTCCTGTCGCTCCTTTCTTGTTCGTATTTCTTCTCTCGCCAGGGATCGCACCCCTTTGGCCGCGGATTCCACCACGGTGGTGAACACGGCCATGCGTGCGAGGGTTTCCACGGCCCTCCTCCGCCTCATTTCAATGGGCTGGCGCCACCACCTCCCTTCGATGGGCACTTCCCACCGCCACCGCCTCATTTCCATCACCACGGCCACGAAGATGGCATGCCACCACCACCACCACCACCACCGTTCTTTGGCGGCGACGATGCATCACACTGGCACATGCCGCCACCGCCTCCCAGGCCTTGGTGGAAATTCTGGGGGCCACCTCCCCCGCCTCCTCACAGCCATCATCACGGTCACAAGAGTGTGTTTTTCCCTCTGTGGGGTAGCTTGGTCGCTGACTCTGACATCTAGAGCATATGCACTGCCGTGATATGCAGCTCATTGGCGATGCAGAGGATAATGCCGAGCAAGTCTGTGCATTCGACTTTATCTCGGAGAAAGAAGATTGCAATGTCTACGTCGTCGGTGCGTTTTTCTTTATTTATACTTACACAAACGTGCAGAGGTTAATAATGGTTCGTTTAGGTCTTGTCGGAAAATCCAGCTTCGAAGGCGCCATTCTCTCGGAGTCGGAGGCATGCCAAGTCTACGGGTACGACGAGTCTGTCGACAAGGTGTGTTTATCAGCCGCTAATTGTTCCTCTGGAACTGACTGCTTATAGTTCGGCGACGCTGTCCCTTTGGACTCTGACCGCGCTCATATCATCAAGCTTGAGGACAGCCACGGCGACGTTCTGTCTGCGGTGCTCGCCACCGCCGAGGGAAAATTCATCGACATTCTCAAGGTCGGCCTCTCGGACAACGCGGACTTGATGGAGCTCGACAACTACCTCTCCGGTCTGCTCGAACAACGCAAGAAGGCACAGCATCACCATAAGAAGCCTGAGCAGCACCGCAAGCAGCACGATGAGCCCAAGGACGAGGACAAGAAGCCCAAGCGCCCGTACCCACCTCCCCCGCCGCATGAGCGCAGGCCTCACCACCCACCTCATCACGGCCCACCTCCTCCATTCGGTCAGCTCCTCCTCACCGCCGATGCCTCTCTCGACGTGAAGCCTGTGCTCGAGAAAATCTCCAAGCTCGGTATGGCGTCGTTCTACGCCGGGGAGACCGCATCCGGCAGTGCTCTCGAGGTGCGTTCATTTCCTCTTGTGGATGAATGGAAATGACTGACTTGGGAATCACAGTTCGACTTTATGGCCCCGCCCCCTCCTCCTCCCCACCATCGTCCCCACCACGGACACCATGATCACCAGGAGCCCGAGCCCGAAGATCCTGAGCCCGAAGATTTCGAGCAGGAAGCGCCTATGCAAGAGCTCGTCTAAACTTCCTTGTTACTATTTACAATTCCCATTCATCATTCCAGAATTTCCCTTCCAGTCGGCACTACCTTTCATGGACTTTTGTCATACCTTTTTCGTGCGTCTGTGTATACCGTCCGAGCCCATTCGACAGTCTTGATGCAGGCCAGGCGTGATACTTGCCTGCTCGACCGTTTGTGCGTAGACCTCCCTGTACTTTTACCTGCATACCTTGATCCAGTCGCCCTTGTATAACGACACACTGGTTGTTCATTGAGCAATGGGCTTGTTACATTTCCTCCTAGGCTCAAACATCCTTCTGGGCTATCATTTAGCAAAGTTTCAAGTTATTCGCCTGAGATTTTGGCGACACATACGAAGCTGAAGGATGTAGAGGGTCCACACAACTGACACAACCATGGGGGTCGGCCTTGCCATCGAGTGGCGTCCCACGTCTGATCATATCCACGTGTGATGAATGATTGATTCAGTTCGCGGGGAAGCCCGCGAAGTCTAAGCCAGAACCACCATCTTCGTAACTGAGTGCAAGAATATGGACAAATCGTCAGCGCGTCCATTGCCACCATAAATTGTAAAATCTAACAGGGCCCATAGCCTCCCGATACCGATGGTGGACACCGCAGGCGACTTGTGTTCTGTCAAGGCCAAGATCAGCGCCATCGAGGCGAACACCAAGACCGATGTGATGAGTCGCATCTACTCATACTCATGCAACAATGAGTCCCCCTCTGCTGAAGAGACTGCTTCGTTCATGATACACCGTGCCACATTGGAAAAGGCCATCGACGATGCGAACGAGCTGCAGCGGCGCCTCTCCGCGCACAAGGAGGCCCTCGATTTTGCTCTAAGCCCTATTCGACGGATCCCGAACGAGCTTTTGGGATATATCTTCGAGTGCTGCGTTGCAGCAGAGTCGTTTCGATGCCCTGACATGCATCCCGCCTCATCGCCGTGGCTCCTCGCGTGCGTCTGTCGCAAATGGCGTACCGTATCTACCACCATCTCAGGCCTGTGGTCAGCATTCAACATATTGGGTGCCCGTCGCACCAGATTAGAAAAGCGTACCTCTGCTGTGGTTCGTATGCTGAACCTTTCGAAACAGCAGCCCTTGGATATCGAGTTTGGTCGCGATGTCTATTGCCACAATGATCAGTTCGAAATGGACATTATCACGTTACTTTCGGAGTCAGCTGTAGCCTCGCGCATTCGCTCTCTAGTCATCAGCTCGGTGCCTCGTGTAATCCGAGCCATGTCTAGTGCAGTGCTCCCGTCTCTGGAAAAACTGGATATCGATTTGGCCAGGTCGAATGCCGACGCAGAACAGGAGTCGCTCGAACCAATCGCTTTCAACGATGTCCCGAACCTGCGGCGGTACAAAGAGGATGATTACCATGATAGTAGAGAAATCAATCTGCCTTGGGCACAACTAACGCACATTCAATTAGGTTACCGACGCTGTGTGTATGTCGAAAAGCTGAGGGACGTTGAGGTCTTGATCCTGGGTGGTCGGGATCTTCAGTTCGCTGGATCGCGACCTGGTCGTCCCGTCGTCCTTCCACGACTTCGATGCCTAGAGGTAGCTCAAGTGCATCCAGGGCAGTTAGCAAATAAACGCATCCTTCCGAGAATCTTCGAAGGTTTCAACATGCCCAATCTAGAGGAGCTCAAGATCAGAATCATCGCTCTCGAGCTGAACAATTCCATGACTGCGCTCTTCGCTGGCGTATCTCGGATTACTTCGTTTACGCTTGGGTACTGGCCGGGGGCATCGCCGGACGTGAATTTTCAGGGAAAATCCGACCGTGTTCTCGACGTCCTTCGGAGCATGCCCCAGCTACTGTTCCTCCAAATTGAAGCGGTGTACTATGGGCACGATGTTGCACGAGTTATGGTGGGCTTGGCCGACAACGTGCCCACAATAGCACCTAAGCTTGCGCAGTTGCGATTCCCTGATTCTACCTTGTACGAGCCGGGGCCTGGTATGGACGCCCTTTGCAAGTTGGTCTCTTCGCGAATGGCCACGCCAGGCGCAGCTCCCCTGCGAGAGGTACGGCTTTACATAGGAATGGATGCCATAGCTATTCCTATTGGCAAGCGAGAGTCGCGCATCCACGAGATCGATCCTGCTCTACGTTTCGGGGCGGCTAGCAAAGTTGAGGACTGGTTTTAGGCGTATACATAGACGAATGATATCCAAATTATCTGCATGTTAAAAGAGTGTTACTACAGCTATTACAAGCCACGAACAACATTCTTTGATTCAAATTTCACGACGTGTTTTTAGCAGGTAGGGAGACTTACAGTATGCTCGTGTGACTAGAATCGCAATCCTACCCACTGGCAATAGCCATGGCACACCAGTAATTCGGACCTGATGCATTTAACAGGCTTCATAATACGCCAGACCGTGAGTCAATCCAAGCCACAGCTTGCTGTAACTAGGAAAATCCAGTCTCTTGCTGTTGCTCTTCTGTAAACTTCTCGCGTAACTTACATAGATCTATCATGGCTGTAAATGGCATCGGCACCGGGCCATTTGTCCTGGCCGCGATCGGCTTACTCTCAGGTTGCCAATTGCCTGCCACTGAGAACAATACTTGACAATGGTCCTCGAGGTTCATGGCACTGCTTCTACGGGACTCAAATACCGGAGGTCTTTTGTTTTGGTTTTATAACCACGCTTGTTTTCCTCCCACCAACACGACCGCAAGAAGAGCGCAAAACCACGCAGAAGCTACCGTTTGGAACAATGTCAAGCACACATCGGGGACAGATGAAGCGCGCCAGAGTGCGTCTCAGTTCTGACCAGATTCTCGGCTGTGCTGAAAAGGACATAGCGCGACTCTGTCGATTCACCGTCGCCGAACAGCGACTCAGGATACGAGA